CATCTCACACTACTTTGAACAAGGAGCAATAATAGTTACTGGACTTGAGAAACCTATTTTTTTGAAAAAATTTTATAATACAAAGATTTTACTAAATTTCAACCAAAATCAGCACTGCCTGTTCGATCAATGAATCCTGAATGTTTTCTTATAAGGAAATGGTTAATATTTTCATTACCGTATATATGCACATATGTGAATGCTATATATATATATATATATATATATAAGCACATAAACATTTATAGATGCCTATGTTCATATACTCACATAGACATAAACATGTGTATATCAATAGCTGTATGAATATGTGCATATAAATGTTTATATATGTGTATTTTATGACTTCATCAGACTAAAATGATATTTACATTTTTACAACTAAAGGAGAAGTGATGCTGAAAATTTTAAATTAAAATTTTATTTTTAAAAAGTTATATTTTGGGTTTAATAAGAGTAAATAGGTTCACTTATCATCTGGTTAACATTCCTCTGTTTTTTGAACAGGAGTGAAGGTTTATCCTTGGTTTTCTTTTTCAGGATTTGATTTCCACTTCTCATTCTCTTACACTCCCAGTACCCCCCCCCTTGTGTCTTAGTGGTATTATTGCCTTGCTTGGGGTGAATTGATTAAAAAAAAATAGTCTGGCTTCATTTGGTTCCTTTTCCCATTTGTCTATTACACCTTTCTAGGAAGATCCTCTGTTATCACAATGTTGGATATTTAATCGCAAATGTGATAAAAACAATTCTAGAGAATTAACAGATTACATCTATTGGCTAGAGAGAAATCTTAATAAAGAATATGCCAAAGAGAACATCATCTTTATTAAGATTTCTTCAATACACAGCTCAATAGACTAAAGTAGGGTACCTATTTTTTTTAATCAATTCAGCTGAAGCAAAGTGACAATGCCTTTAAGACACAAAGGGCTACTGGAAGTGAAAGAGAATGAAGAGACTTTAGATAGAAGGAACTGGAAACTCAATCATAAACAGGAAAAAACATATACTCCTATTTAAAGACCAGGGAGGAGTGTGAACCGGACAATAGAAAAACCTACTTACTCCTATTAAGGAAAAATAAATAAATAAATAGTAAATATAATTTCAGAGTTCAGGCAGAGATGTTAGAAGTATAGAGCCAAAGTAGATATTAGAAGGAACCAGAAACTGAATCCTAAACAGGAAACAAGAGAAAGACATCTACTCCTATTCAAAAAACTGGGGAAGAGTGTGAACCGAACGACAGGCAAACTTAATATTTTAACAATTTTTGTTCAAGTTTCTTCAGAGAGCAGTCCAAAATTATGAGGCCATGTCTATTAAGTTTTGGTCTGCTGCATCTAGTAAAAACAAAACTGAGAATGAGAGTGGAAAAATTAGAAGAAATAAACAAAAATATATTCCAAGGAAAATACTGGAGAAGCCATCTTTAATTGAAGAAATCTTCCATTTTTATGTCATATTTGTCAGTGTCTTTTTCTAATTTCATTGATAATAATAGCCAAAGAAGAAACATATGCATTGTTCAGTTTGCAATTTGATCAAACAAAATTAAAAATTGCTACAAAAATTTGTTTAGTCATTTGAAAAATTAGAGGCAAATTTAGGTGGTTTGTAAAGTGAACCAATTTTATTTGACTGATGACAAGAATTGTGGAATAATCTTAAATGTGTCACTTTTTTCTTAATTATGGTGTTGTAATTTCAACTGAAAGAATATATGACATGCCTCAATGTGTGTAATGATGTGTGTGCATGTAAGAGAAGAGTGTAATCTGTGATTGAGAGAGAGAAGTTAAAAGTGTAAAGAGATAGTGTATAGGAGAAAAGTGAAGTGAAAGTTTCACACTCAATCATGACAACTAGAAAAAAAATTGTATTTAATCTAAAAATGATTGTCTCTTTGCTTGGATATCTGAGATGAAGTAAATTTCAAAAGAATGACACAGAATGAATAATAAAGAAAAAAAAGGAATGAATATAAAAATGATAAAGAAGAAGGAAACAATTGTAGAGAAAGAAAAGAATTAGAAAATTTATCAAAAAAAGAGAAAAAGTGATGAAAATTAATGTGAAAGTGTTAAATATTGAGGAAGGATGAGATATAAAAAAAAAGACCAGATGAATGAGAAAAAAGAAAAAATACAAAGAGGAAAGTATAAAAACGCTGATGGGTGAGAGAAAGAGAGAAGATAAATAAGATGGAGAATAGAGACAAAAGAGAGTGTGGGAGAAAGGAAAAGAGATAAGAAAAGATCAAGAGAGGTAAAGATCAAAAGGAGAAAAAGAAGGAGAAAAAGAAGGAGAAAAAGAAATGAGAAGGGGGAAAAAGAGGACAAAATAAAAAGAGGTGGAAAAAATTATTACAGATGAGAAATAAAAGAGAAAGGAAAAAAGCAGGTAAGAAAGATAAAGAAAAAGAAAGGAGAGTAGGTGAGAAAGAAAAAGAAAGAAAGAAAAAAACATGTAACAAAGAGAAGAGAGAAGGGAAAAATTAGGAAAAAAAAAAAGAGTAAGTAAGAGAGATAAGCAGAAGAGAAAATGTGTAGGTAAGAAAGTCAGCAGTGTGGAAAGTATAGGAGAAAAGAAAAAAGCAGGTAAGTGAGATAAAGAGAGAAGCTAAAAAGAGCAAGAGAGAAAAAAGGAGTAAGAAAGAAAGATAAAAAGGGAAGGGAAAAGAGTAGGTCAGAGAGATAAAAAGAAAAAGAGAAAAGATTAGGTTAGGAAGAAAAAAGAGCAGATAAGAATGTAAAGAGAGAAGGAAAAAATAGGAGAGAAGGGAAAAGAGTAGAAAAGAAAGAAAAGAAAAATGGACTGGTGAGTGAGATAGAGAAAAATTTATGTGACAAAGAAGAGACAATAAAGAAAAAAAAGAGCAGATAAGAATGATAAAGAGAGAATAGAAAAAGATTATGTAAGAAAGAAAAGATAGAAAACAGACTGGTAAGAAAGATACAGAAAGAAAAAATAAGTGATGAGAAAGAAAAAAAGAGAAGATAAGAATGATAGGAGAGAAGGAAAAAGTGTATGTAAGAAAGAAAAAAGGAAAAATGGACTGGTGAGAGAGATAAAAAAAAAAGGAAAAAAAGGAGAAAGAAGAGGAAAAAAAAAGAGCCAGTCTAAAAGCTTCAGAGAGAAAGATAAGGAGAAAAAGAGAAGATTAAAAACAAAATAAATTACATAAAGAAAAGAAGTCAAAAAACAAAGTGTATTTTGAAAGCTAATGCTAGTGTTTGTGTGTCTATTTAACCAATAAAGCAAGCTTTTTCTTCTGATGCATCCAGCATAGGATTAACAAAAGAATATGCTGATGTAATAGTTGATCAATTACAGATCAATGTGAAATGGACTGAATTAAAAGGCCCAGGCATCAAAAAGTAGACTCTTTGTTAGAATGACAAATGATGAAGGCATTTTCTTTTTACATTTTGTAATCATTTATTTTTATCCCCACACATTCTAACTGGGCAGCTAAACAGCCACAGAATGAGATTTCTTTTGCTACCAGTATTTGTTGTTTGTGTCTAGAATAGGATTTACCAACCTGGGTGATATCGTCCACCAGTGGACAATTTCAACTGTTGGGTGGACGATGACTAACTGAATAGAAAATGGCGGGTGATATAGGATTTTGAGTATTAAAAATATATACCCCTGCTAAAAATATATATATATATATATTCATGGAAAATATGCAAAGAAACTGTAGAAAAAAAATTTAAAACAGGAAGCTAAAAGAGAATAACTGGCACACATTCCTAAATAAGATATAAATATTTTCTATATTTTTGATAAGGTCATAGACATTCAAATAGTTCTTCAGATGAAATAACATTTTTTTCGAATACAATCCAGATAAGGGATGACCAAGAACAACAAAATAATATTCACTGAAGTTTTATTACTTGCAAGTAATAGATATTATTTTGAATTTTATAATTCTGAACAAAAATAATTTAATTTTTTCAACACTAGCAATGCTAAACCTAACCATAAAAATAATCTTGACCATAAAACTAAATTATATATATATATATATATAGTTTGGTTATGTTTGCTTTTGTGTGTTCTTTAATATGGTACCAGTGGCAGTCACCACTGTATAAGAGTGCAGTATTTGTTACTTCCCTTTAGTATTTTTTTTTACTACATTGTAAAGTCAGTTTATGAATTAGTTTAGTAACACGCTTTTGAATATTTACTATACAGATGGGCGGTGGAAAATTTTTCCATGTGAAAATGGACGATGATGAAAAAAGGTTAGAAACCTCTGGTTTAGACAAAAAAAAATTGTAATTTGGTGTAACAATCTTCCTATGCTAGTTTTTGCTCTATACTAATCAAAGATTATTAAACCAGTCATATATCACAAAACAGAGGGTTTTCTATTCTCATTGTCATAGTCTAACTTGAACGTTCCATGTTATTTATTAGCCCACCTAAAAATGGTAAAATAGAACATATACTTAGGTTTTAGTATTGAGGAATTGATATACCCACTTAATATGGTACATGACAAAAAGTTGAACTTTATCAGGAGTCATCCAAAAAATAACCCATTTCTTTTGGTCACTACCACAGACATCGGGGTATGTCTCTGACCCTACCTGTCTTAATGCAATAGGAAGTGCTGTCTCAAAATAAAGATTGTTTTGTCCAAAGATGGAGGCAAGAAGGACTTTATGTGTTGTGTCTTTTTATTTGATTAAAAGAAAAGAAAGAAGTAAGTGAAATTATGCTATTTCTATTCCTCAGACATAGAAATTCATAGACAATCTGCTGAGGAAACAGTAGCAGTAACACCAACAAAGCCACTTTTGGATAATAATTCTGGATTCACACCATGGTTTCAAAGCTTCAATGCCAGTACCATTGCTGATGGCACTCCAGCAATATCTCATGATATCACTAGACTTTGTTGGCTGTGACAAGACAGGAATGCCCTTTATATGCAGATACAGCTTCACATCACTCTTGAAATTTCTTAATATATTTCCTCCTTTCTGTCAGGAATCTTAAAGCAGAGTTCCAGTAAAAATATCTATCTATCTCTCTATCCATCAAGTCAAACAGTGGACTATGGGGCCAAAGCATCGACACACTAGGTGTTGCTACTGTGGTTTCCATAGGAAATAGGTTTTCACAGTATGGCCAACTAGTTCTGAATTCAGAGTTGTTGTTCTCCTAGACTGGTTGCCAACCAAGGCTGAATAATCCAATCTGCCCTACTATTTAACCCATAGCCTAGGGGATAAAATGGATTCAAGGTTATTTGCACAAAAGTGAATATAATGAATTCAGGTTGAATTTGAACTTAGCCAAATAATTTTTCTTGCGAATTGTTAACCATTACGCTACCTGCACATCTGTATGTATGTGTGTGTGTGTGTGTGTGTGTGTGTATATATATCAAGGGGGAGTAGAAAGGAGAGATACAAGATAGGAAAGAAGGTACTAGGATAGATGATAATTTCAAATTTCATCCAATAGAAAATATCTTAATAAAATAACTGGATTCAGCAAATCATTCAAAGTGTTGATGATCTCTGATAAGTAATTTGACATGAAACTCTGGAGTCAGTCAACGAGATAAGACCATTGATCATTTATTAATTTATTGAATATATATGTACATATCTGAAAACGTATAATAATATCCTTCTGATCAGCAATTTTTCGTGTGTTCATGCTATGCTTGTATGTTCATTACACCTTCCAATATTAAGTCTATTATTTGGTAAGCAAGATATGATAATATTCAGCAAATTGTTTAATTTTTAAATGATCATAATCTACAGCATTATTATTACTGCTGCTCCTGACTCCATTCCCCTGTTTGAATATGTTACATATTCATTATATCTTCCAATGTTTCATCAGAAAAAAAGGATTTGATAAGATAAATAAATGGGAAGAACTTAAAGTAAGGGATTTGGATACAGAGTTAGAGAGAAAGAAAGAAAAAGAGAAAGTACCCTCTCCACACCCCTCTCACCACATGATGAAAATCTAAAGTATTACAATTCCTCAGAGGATCATTAGCTATATTGGTTTCTTATGGAAAAGTAAAAAATAGTTCTACAAACTATGAGAACTTTTCCATCATCTAAAAACTGATTCCATAAACATTTCAAATGGGCTTTATCAGCAAAAGGCAAAACCCCTGCAACCCACCAAACACTTTGATATCAGCATTGTCAACAGATATCCCTGAAGTTGTTAAAATGGGAGGGGCTAAGTGATAGGACCAGATATCGTATATATGTATGTACTTAAAAAGGGAGTTGTTTACTAAAGAGAAAATAGGCATAAAACTTATCTGGGCATACATTTTGAATTAAATGGTCCCTGTGTTATTTTGCAGGATTTGTTTCTAAAAAGAAAAAGAAAAAACATTGACAGTTAAAATAATGCAAGAAAATTAGTTCTGAACTCTGATCTGAATCCCACAAGAAATGGTTATCAGTGCATTTGTAATGAAATAGGAGAGAATCATGTAAATAAAATTGCTGTAATTTTCTAATATTATGGAAAAATAGCAAAAAATATGAATGGTTAATGGACACTTTTAGGGTTGATTTTTGTTTTAAAAAGATTCATTGGCTGCAAGTTATTAATGGAAAATCGTTTATTCACATAAATTAATTTGAACTGAGGCATTCAAAATTCCATGCTCTCTAGTGAAAATAAAACAATAGCAATGAAATTATTGCAACAGGGTTTCAGATGTGAAGCCAAGCAAAAAACGGATTTTCAATCTAACAGAAAAACTCATTGGAGAATGAAGTGTTAAAAAATTTTGCTCTTTTCCTTCAGTCATTTTTTAAGGTTGCAAGTATTTTTGTTAATTATGCAGAACACCGCTGCTATTTTACCTACATTACTTATCTATCATCCAACAGACAGTAACCTTTCTGATGTTACTAGACGTGAAACAGACTATGAAGTAAAATGAGATAAATGAAAAATGTATATATATATATATATATATATATATATATATATATATATGTAATTTGGCTTCTATCAGTTATATAAAAAGTAAAATATGTATGCTGGGACACAAGGGATATTGCTAGCATAAGTGCATATGTGTTGATATATATATGTATATATGATAGGATAAAGAACAAATATGAAACATTTATAAATTTAACACGTTTCACTTTTATTTAAGGTTCACAAAAAATTTTGGGGGAATGAATTATGCAAGTACTTTTAGTTCTGTGTTGTTTGTTTTTCATTGGTCAAGTAGACCTCATGCATCTTGTGGTATTAATGTGTGTTAGCATGTATGTGTCCACAAGTCTACTTTTGGATTCTAGTGGACATTTTTGTGATGGTCTGGTACTAGGATTTTCAAAGGAACCCCAACTAGTTCTGGATTCAGAGTTGTTCTCCGAGACTGGTTGCCAACCAAGGTGAAGAACCTAGTCTACCCTAATATTTAACTCATAGCTGAGGGGAGAAAATAGATTCAAGTGTGTATGCGCAACAGTGAATGTCACGAACTTGACTGGAATTTGAACTCAGCCCACTGATTTTTCATTCCGAAGTGCTAACAAATTACACCACCTGTACATCCAGATACAGATATATACCATGTGTATAATTCCTGAAGATGGCAGTGAGATGTTGGTGTGTCTGCATATCATATTTCTAGTTGGTTTTGCAGGATTTGGGTGATAATGTGTCTTTAGTGGGCATTTTTCTTTCTGTCTGGTAGTATCTGTATGTCAATAATTACCTAACAAGCTTGCATAAATGGTTGATAGAACAGTGATTAGGAGAGATAGCAAATAGATAAAACTTTTTAAGAGCAACAAAAGGCAGGAAGTTGTGGAGACTGGTGATCACCCACATCCTAAAGGGATACAGCACATAGAAGACTTGCCACACACAGTAAGTAGGGGATTTCTTTTGGTTTTGCTTTAGTCTTAAGGGGATAGTCAGATAATGAGCCTTTAAATTGTCTGCAAAGTTTTTGCCTGCTTTTGATGATTGATAAACTAAGCCTCAAGAGATAACCTTCCTAATTAAAGCCTTGTGTGTTTCTTGGGTTGTACAGCATAGCTGAAGGATAAAAGAAAATGAAAAGAAAAAGAAAAGAAAGAAAGGAGGGTATAATTCGTCATTTTATGATAAATTAAGCAGATGATTTGAATAATAGTAATCTACCTGGATTGTCAAATAGTAAAGATAATCTAGAGCAAATAATTCTGACCTAGCATCATTATTATATACACTCAATGTATATATATATATATAACCATTAAAAAATATATACAACTCAATATATATATATATATATATATATATATATATATATATATATATATATATATATATATATAACCATTAAAAAAAATATTATATACATGTATATATATATATATATATATATATATATATATAACCATTAAAAATATTATATACACTCAATGGATATATATAACCATTAAAAATATTATATATACTCAATGTATATATATAACTATTAAAAAATATTATATACACTCAATGTATATATATATATATATATATATAGCCATTAAAAATATTATATGCACTCAATGTATATATATATAACCATTAAAAAATATTATATACACTCAATGTATATAACTATTAAAAAATATTATATACACTCAATGTATATATATAACCAAAGTTATCACAGGTAGGATTTATTAAACTAATGCCAAAACATTCATTTAATCTAATGATTACATAAACAGCAACACAGGAAATTCTTCAGGTAGGAGGAGAATGAAAAAATAATTACGGTTGAGTTTCAGTGCCAAATGCATCTAAACTTGAATTCATTTTCAGTGCCAAATTCCATGGTGAGAACTTTTACTATTCTGACATTTCAGATAAGTATCAACATTTTCAGATTTCAATTTCTTAGTCTAAGACTTAAACTGAGTCGTACAGTGCTTAAAAAAAACACAAGAATACAAGTGTATGATACAAAACATGAATTATCGAATAATTTCTGAGTGCAGGCACTTTTATAAGAAAAATTAGACTTGTTGAGTTGGAGTATATTGTTTTGTTTAGTCTATAATATACCTTGCTTACTCTCTATATTAAATATATATATATATATATATAAGACATTTCTATGTTTATACATTCTTTTTATAAATACAAATATTTAAGTAAATGCTCTGTTTATAATAAGCAGTATTAAACAACATTTGTCGGCCTGAATGTCCGAGAAATTTTCACAGAAAAAATTCATCCTCTGACAGGGTTCGAACCTGTATCCTATATGGAACAGTCATTTAGTTTGACATGCCTTTAACTGATTTGGCCAGAGAGGAGTGTTCGAACTCCACTGTGGCCAAATCGGTTAAAGGCACGTCAAGCTAAATGATGGTTTTCTGTGAAAATATCTTAGACATTCAGGCTGGTAAATGTTATTTAATACTGTTTATTATAAACAGAGCATTTACTTAAATATTTGTATCTATAAAAAGAAATGAGGATGTCAAACCCTGTGTACATGGCATGGTGGGTCTTAGCTGTAAAGGTCTGTACTAGAGGAATTAAGGAAAGAACATTATCCATGGAAATAGCAAGATATTTCCAATGTTTCATCTGGATTCAGGCCAGTAGTCTTTAACCTTTTCCAAGACTCTCAATCCTTTGAGATTTCAAATTCACTCTTCAATCTTAAGGCAAAAAATTTAATTTTAATTAAAGGTTTAAAATTTTAATTAAATGTTTCAAAAATCAAAATTTTCAAATTTTCATCAGACGTCAAAATTAAAAGACATTACAAATAAAACCATTTAACTTGTTAGTGGCTACTGCTTTTTCTTAATTAACTTTGATATGTATTTTATGTTTCTAGTGTTTTTTTAAATGCTAATTAAGGACAGTCAAGAGAAGAAGCATTTGTTGATTTAGGACCTGAAAGAAAAACGTCATATATACCAATAACAAAATAAAAAAATATGTTTACCACTCTCTTCTCAAATCTCCAATATTGCTTGTTGTATCACTTGTAACTCTAGGTTAATGGCAATGGTAATATAAGGAAATATTCAGCATTCATTGGCCAAGCAGCCAGTGCTACTGTTTATTGAAATTTATAAAATTTTTTATTAAAACAATTTTTCAAGAAAATAAGTTTCTCATATTCACTTTTATCACTCTTTCCAACATTGATGAAAGTTTTCTTTTTTTCTAACCTTTGGAATGTCAACATCTTGATTATGTCTCTTTTCTTTTTGAGTTACATATACTTTCCATTTACAGTACAGTTATTTGTTTATGATTCTGTAGAACCAGTTTGTGAAGTTCAAAGAAAGGCAGACCTCTTCTCTCCCAAGCTATGGATTAATTATTAGGATTTGTATCAGTAAACCTTTATTATATCTACCCATCACCCAGCAACCCTAGAAAGATATTCTTATGATCTAAAATACTTTTGGCTTTAAAATAACATGTAAAAGGTTGATACTGTAAAAATCAGTCAATGAAAGGCAATCTTTACTAAGACCTAAATACTTCAATCAGTCACTGCTTAAAATCACAACTGACACTATATTAAGACTAAATTGAACCAAGCTCAAAATCTACTGAAAGATATAATCATTGATATTAGCATCGACAAAATAAATTATTCTGCTGAACATTCATTTTTCAAAAGCTGTCAAGTATTTCTGGAAAAACTAACCAAAAGTGCTCAACTAGCGATTGACAAAATATCGGTGTTGTATTTAGATGGCAGACATAATTCTCAATAAAGAATTACATATGCAAAAAGTTATTTTTTTATCCTGATATAGAATCTTATAAATGTCACATAAAAACACGAAAACAAAATGAAAATCATCGCAAGTCGTATCATGTTTATCACTGTATTGTATTCAACTAATAATTTTTGGAGTTCAAATGCCAGTAGAGTTTGAGCTGTTATTTTGTATTTTGACACTTGTGGAAGATATTTCTGGTGCAAAAAGGAAAAAGACAGTGTCTGCTTCTTTGATGATAAAAATATTGCCAAAGAAAATTAGTGAAGTGCTTCCAAAAGACAAATGATAAAAACAAATGTGGAGAGATTAAAAGTACTGTCATGAAACACTAAACAGAGGTTTACATAGATCCACACATGTATATGTGGGTTGATATAGATGTACAGACATTATATACCATTGAATATAGGATATTTACATACTTGTATATGATGATGGCTGTAACTCAATTTTGAGTACACAAATACATATATCATATAATACACAGGTATACATCTACATATGAACACACTCTCACATGTATATAATTTAAAATCTATGAACTTACATTCAATCACTCACAAATACAAATATATACACGCACACACACACATATATATATATATATATATATATATATAAAAGAACTATATTACATACACACACACTCACACATGAGTTGAAAATGGAAAGTTCTTGGCCCAAACTACTACTCAAAATCTGATCATATGACCAAAATTCAAAAATTTGAGGGAAACTCTTCTTGGTCAAGACAAGAACTTTTCAGCACCTGTGTGTATATATATATATATATATATATATATATATAGAGAGAGAGAGAGAGAGAGAGATGCAGACATTTACATGTCTATGTGCTTATGTATACTGAAGTATGAATAAAGAAAGAAGCACATAGATGGTGTATATTTACATGACTATATCTATGTCTAATCACACCTGAGTGAAACGAGATAGGAATATTTTGGAAAAAAAGTAAAAAACAGAGAAAGAAGATCATCTGTGTCATTTGATTCTGGTGAGATTGATATGTGATGTTCATGAGAAATAAAATTCAAGTTGGTAATTTAGAAACTTGAGATTTCATCTTATCAGTCGGATGTTTTTTGAGTTGAGAAGACAAGAGAGTTTCTGATTACAACCTTATTTATTGCAAGGAAAAATACTTTTAAACTCCCACATTTTTGTTTTCCTGCCAACAAGTGGTCGACTAGTAAGAAACACAAGTGAAATTTGAGATAATATAAGAATAAACACTAAGTGAAAATAATAGTCTTTAACTTTTACCATTTTATTTTTACTGCTTTAACAAGATCATAAATTAAATCAAGTTAACCCTTTATGCTAAAGAGTTTAAAATGAAAGTAAATAACATTAGGTACCTTGGACCATATATGATTCAATTTGGTGCAATGTATAGTGGCTCAGAATAAAAATCAGAGAGCCAACTTAAAATTCCAGTCTCATTATATTTATTTACACACATATATCCCTGGGAAAATATAAATCCATTTACTCCTCACAATTATGAGTTAACTAGTAACAGTTGTATCTGGAAAAATCCTTAATTATTGTAAAATAATTGCTAATTCAATATTCGCTTGCCAGAAAAAAAGAAAAGAAAAAGAATTATTCTTAATATCAAAAATATGTTTCTGCTTTAGAATAACCTAAAAAACTTCAAAAAAGTTTGCACCCCCCATGATTATTATTAGTGAATTAGGTGAATAAGAATACTAGATTTTGCATCAAATAAGACCTCTCTAATTTACGTTCACAGCATTATGAAGGTAAGCTATGTACAATTACTAGTAATCTATGATATCCATCCTGCTTTCCCTCCTGAGGACAATGTACAGATGATAAGGGGAGCTATGCTGATGACATAGGTATTCATATTTGGGATAAGAATGATCTTCAACCAAGAATCAACATCCTCTACCAAGTCTTCCAAGAGATAGAACTCAAGATAAATCTTTCCAAAACATAAACTGTGATCTGGAATTGAAATAAAAGCAGTGATGGCACATACACATAATCCAACACTGGCATAGCTCTATTACAACAAATTTAATATAGAAGATAAGGAAATTCAATACAGAATAGGCTGTACTAGAGTTAGTTTGAACTGTAAAATGATGACACCTTGCCTTGGTGTATGGATCAGTTATAACAAAATATAGAAGATAAGGAAATTGAAACATAGAATAGGATGTACTAGAGTTAGTTAGTTTGAACAAATTTAGTATAGAAATGATGAGAATACCTTGCCTTGGTGTATGGATCAGTTATCAAATTTTATAACAAAATAGGCTGTATAGAAGAGTTTGAACGTAAATGAAATTGAATATAGAATAAGGAAAGGCTGCACTAGAGTTGAAGTTTGAACTGTAAAATAAAGAGAAATTGAATATAGAATAGGCAGCACAGAGTTAGTTTGTGATGGATCAGTGTATTTATAACAAAATATAGATAAGGAAATTGAATATAGAATAGGCAAGTACTCAGAAATTGAATATAGAATAGGCTGTACTAGAGTTAGTTTGAACTCTAAAATGAGAGACCTTATAATGAATGTATGTGGATCAGGAAATTATAACAAAATTTAGAATAGAAATGATAAAATTAAGAATATAGAATAGGCTGCACTAGAGGTAGTTTGAACTGTAAAATGATGACACTTTGCTGGTGAATATGGATAGAGGTAGTTTATAACAAATTCTTTGCCTTTTTAGTATAGAAGATAAGGCACTAGAGGTAGTTGAACTGTAAAATATGAGAATAGGCTGAATATAGAATAGGTAGCACTAGAGGTAGTTTGAACTGTAAAATTGAACTCTACAAATGTTGTAGAAGTATGAAATTGACCTTAGGCTGCACTAGAGGTAGTTTGTAAAATGGACCTTGCCATGGATCAGTTATAACAAATTTAGTATAGAAGAATAAAATTGAATATAGAATAGGCTGCACTAGAGGTAGTTTGAACTGTAAAATGGATGACAACTTTGCTATTGAATATAGAATTGTATGGATCGTAAAGTTATCTGCCTTAGTGTAACAAATTTAGTATAGAAGATAAGGAAATTGAATATAGAATTGCACTAGATAGTTTGAATAGGCTGTACTAGAAGTTAGTTGAATATAGAACTCTAAAATGATGAGACCTTGCCTTAGTGTATGGATCAGTTATAACAAATTTAGTATAGTTTGAAGTAAAATGATGAACCTTTGCCTTGGTGTATGGATCAGTTATAACAAATTTAATAGAAGATATGAAATTGAATATAGAATAGGCAGCACTAGAGGTGGTTTGAACTGTAAGGAAATGATGACACCTTGCCTTGGTGTAAAATGATGAGATGGATCAGTTATAACAAATTTAGTATAGAAGACAAGGAAATTGAATATAGAATAGGCAGCACTAGAGGTAGTTTGAACTGTAAAATGATGAACCTGGTATGGATCATTTATAACAAATTTAGTATAGAAGATAAGGGAAATTGAATATGAATAGGCAGCCTTGCCTTTGGTATATGGATCAGTTATAACAAATTTAGTATAGAAGATAAGGAAATTGAATATAGAATAGGCAGCTGCACTAGAAGGTAGTTGTTATAACATATTTAGTATAGAAGATAGGAAATGATGAGACTAGAGGTAGTTTGAACTGTAAAAATGATGAGACCTTGCCTTTGGTGTATGGATCAGTTATAACAAATTTAGTTTAGAATATAGAAATAAGTTTGAACTGTAAAATGATGAGATCTTGCCTGGGTATATGGATCAGTTATAACAAATTTAGTATAGAAGATAAGAAAATTGAATATAGAATAGGCAGCACTAGAGGTAGTTTGAAAAAATGATGAGACATTGCCATGGTGTATGGATCAGTTATAACAAATTTAGTATAGAAGATAAGGGAAATTGAAATTGAATATGAAGTCAAATGAAACATGGTGTATGGACTATTTATAAATAAATTTAGTATAGAAGATAAGGAAACTAGAATAGGCTGCACTAGAGGTAGTTTGAACTGTAAAATGATGACACCTTGCCTTGGTGTATGGATGGAAGTTATAACAAAGTTAGAAGATAACAAATTTAGTATAGAAGATGAGAAAAATTGAATATAGAAATAGGAAATTGAATATAGAATAGCAATTAGAGGTAGTTTGAACTGTAAAATGATGACCTTGCCTTGGTGTATGGATCAGTTATAACAAATTTAGTATAGAAGATAAAATTTGAATATTGAATAGCACTAGAGGTAGTTTGAACTGTAAAAATGATGAGACATTTGGTGTTGGCTTATAATAAATTTATAGAAGATTGAAATTGAATATAGAATAGGCTGCACTAGAGGTAGTTTGAACTGTAAAATGATGAGAACATGGTGTATGGATCAGTTAGTATAGAAGAAAAATTAAAATAGAATAGGCAGCATAGAGGTAGTTTGAACTAAAAATGATGTGCTTGGTATATGGACAGTTATAACAAATGTTGTATAGAAGATAAGGAAATTGAATATAGAATATGCATGTTGCGTAGTTTGTTCAAACAAATTGAATCAGCTTTAGAGGTAGTTTGAACTAAAATGGATCAAATGCATGAATTGAATAGGCTGCACTAGACGTAGTTTCTGTAAAATGATTACTAGTTATAACAAATTTAGTATAGAAGATAAGGAAATTGAATATAGAATAGGCTTAGAGGTAGTTTGAACTGTAAAATGATGAGACTTTGGTGTATGATTTTCAAATTTAGTATAGAAGATAAGGAAATTGTAGAATAGGCAGCACTAGAGGTAGTTTGAACTGTAAAATGATGAGACCTTGTTCAAATTTAGTATAGAAGATAAGGAAATTGAATAAACTGTCAGTTTGAATAAAACTGTTTCTTATGATAGTATAGAAGACAAGTGAAATTGAATATAGAATGCTTAGAATAACTGTAAATGATGACATTGCCAAAATTATTACAAATTTAATATAGAAGGACTTGTGAATTATAGAGGCTGCACTAGAGGTAGTTTGAACTGTAAAATGATGACCTACATGGTGTAATCAACAAATTTAGTATAGAAGATATGAAATTGAATAGAAATGGATGAATTTGAGACACTACCAAGTATAGAAAGCAACAACTAAACTAGAGGTAGTTTGAATGTAAAATGATAACACTTATAGAAGATAAGGAAATTGAATATAGAATAACAAGGTAGTTTGAAAAAGAAAGCTAAGGAAATTGAACATAATCAAGATTTGGTGTATGGAAATAACAAATTTATATAGAAGACAAAAATTGAATATAGAATAGCCGCTAGAGGTAGTTTTTAAATGATGAGATTTCACAAATTTAGTATAGAAGATAAGGAAATTGAATATGAAAACAACAGTTTCTGAGACATTGCCTTGGAAAGAACCTTGCCTTGGTGTAATAACAAATTTTTTCATGAACTGTAAAATGAAAATTTGTAAATTTAAAGGGAAACAAATTTAGTATAGAAGATAAGGAAATTGAATATAGAATAAGATAGTTTGAACTGTAAAATGATGACATTCTTTGTGTAAAGTTATAACAAAATTTAGTATAGAAGATAATGAAATTGAATATAGAATAGGCTGCACTAGAGGTAGTTTGAACTGTAAAATGATTTCCAAATTTGTATAGAAGATAAGGAAAAAATTCTAATATTTTGAACTGTAAAATGATGAGACATTTGGACAGTTATAACAGATAAGGAAATTGAAATCAAAGTTTGAATAAAATGATGACAGATCAAAATTGAATATAGAATAGGCTGCACTAGAGGTAGTTTGAATGTAAAATGATGAGCTTGGTGTATTTATCAAATTTAGTATAGAAGATAAGGAAATTGAATATAGAATAGGCAACTAGAGGTATTCTGTAAAATTGAGACCTCTTGGTGTATGGCAACAATAACAAATTTAGTATAGAAGATAAGGAAATTGAATTAGAATACAGCACTAGAGGTAGTTT